GTAGATCTGAATCTAAAAATAAATACCTAAAAAATAAAACATTGATATGTTAAGAATGTGCCAAAAATGATCACGTCACAAAGAATTGTTATGTGAAAATCGAAGCTGATCAAATTTTCCTTTAGCCAAAATGATTCAAAATTTTGATCACAAGGAGAAGATTTGCTAGACAATGAACTATGATGTCAGAGATAGAAACTATGCAATTCATCAAGTAATGTTAATGATGTATTGAATCTAGATTAATCTTGTTTTTATCACATTTTTTACATTAGAATTGTTGTTGCATGTTCTTAGTATCAAATGATACAACTTTTATGACAAATGATCAATCTTGTTGGTTGAAAAAATTGAATTTTTTAAGATTCAAATGTTTGATGGAGTCAAATATATATTGATTCAAGCTAGATATATATTTCATATGATAACTAATTTGAAATCGTTTGAATTGTTAAATTCAAAAATTCTTTAAATGAAACTTTAAATTAACAGTGTATGATGTGCAAAAGCATAGTAAAATTATGTTAGATATCATTAACACATAAATTTTTATTTATTAAATGATATTAATATCTGAGTTAAAATCAATTATACTAAATTTTAAGTGAAGATGTATTATGTATGACATTTTAAGCTATAATACATAAGGAATAGAATTTTATCAATCCTAGATGATAAGAATTTGTTACTTGATATAGGTAAATTTGACTGAAAATTCTATGAAAATTGTGTTATAAACAAACATTTTAGACTAGACTTTGGTTGAAGCTCACAATTCTCAAAAATTATTTGACTATGTACACAATGATATGTGAAAAAATTCTTTAAAATCTTTACTCTTTGAGAAATATTACAATGTATCATTTATTGATGAGTACTCTAGATTTAATTAATAATTTCTCACACAAAAGTTTGAGTTATTACAATTACTTGAGTTATCCAACATTCAAAGGTTGGAAAGCCAAAGTTAAAACTCAAACCAAATAGAAAGTGAAATATTTATGTACAGATGAGGATGAGAAGTATATTATTTAGTAACTAATGTAAAAAGAAGAGTATTATTTTTCATCTCACCACAATTTATGAATTACAACATATTGTTGTTTTTAAGACGCTCAATCAATAATATTGAAAAAGATTTGCAGTATATAGATAGATATATATATTGTCTACCAATGTGTAATCTAGTAACCCAATGAATTTTAAACTAAAGTCGCCGACATCACAATACATTGATAATTTTTAATCTTTCTAGTGAAATCCATAGAAACGTATTATTTATATATGATTAAAATTTATTATTTTTTAGGTTTTGATTTCTTATTTCATTCTAATAACTCATTAATTATTACAAATTGATTCAATATTAAAGTATAAAAAATATATTTACTTATGATCTTTCATAAGTATGATTCTGCATCATGTGTTTTGAGCATAATTTTCATATATATGTATATCTTGATGTGATCTCTGTTTAACATAATACAGTTACTAATTTCTAATACATATCATTCTATCATATGAGACTTGTAATCTCTAGGCTGACTCTCATTCATGTTTAACTCAAATGACTTTGTGGTAATTCATCATAGTTCTAAAATTCTCACTCATACTCGTATTTCAAACACATTCTCACACAAACTCTCCATACATCACTCAATTCACACAAACTTTCCTCACATCACTACATTCATATAAATTCAAACACACGTTGATATTCCAAGATACTGAAAAAATTCACTTCTTCATTTATGAAACAAATCCTCACACATGAACTCTCCAAACTTGTTTGAGAGTCATTACTCTAACTCTCTATTTATAATACTTAAGAAATTACCATGGTAACATGTGGTAATTTCTACTAACTCACTTTTTCCTATGTAGGTTTGACTAATCCACTATATGTGACAATATGCCATTGGCCTAGCTAAACCTTCTAGAAGTTTCCAGAATCTGAAGTGTAGGTGGCAACATGCCATTTGAAATTTTAAATTTTCTAGAAACTTCATAGTCATTAAGTCAACATTAGACTTACTCTAGCCAATCATTTTTCATACATTTAGTCAAACCAGTCAAATCTAAACTTATAGTCAAAAGTTTAATACCTTGGAATTTAGATCTTTGTAAAAGATAAAATAGAAGTGCTCACCTCAATCTTCTAAAACTCTGTTCATTATTTTGCCAAATATAAACATTATAGCTAAACTTAGTCATGACTAGATAAACTTAGTTCTAACTAACTAGTTTAGTCATTACTAGCTAGACTTAGCTATGTCTTGGCTAATCATCATTAATCATTTAGCTACTTCTACAACTTAGTACACATGTGCAACATCCGTTCTCACAGACTTCACATCAATACCCATGTTCTTATAGCAACAAGATAATCTTGGATAAATAAAGATAGATATAGAAGAATATTAAGATAGATATATGAGAATTCATTTTGTTTATTTTTTATTTTGTTTAATCTATATGAGCAATGACAAGAAATTGAAATTTTAGTTTGAAGATGAATATAGTACTACAAGTCCATTGAATCGAATAACCTCGACCTTGATTTTATCCCTACATGCAAAACATCCAGTTGCAGCGTATTACATAAGTTGATAGCCTACTCTCCATAATTCAAAACAAAGTATATCAGAATTAATGTTCAAGTTGGGCAGAATTGTTTAGACAATATCACTTTAGCTTCATGATCAAAGTACTTCAGTCAAAGTACTTTGGACCCATAGAGCTTCACTCCCTCGCGTTCTATTCGTCAACTATATAATACTAAAAATTTCATTTGGAGCATTAGTAACCGAGGAATGTAGTGCCATCGGTAGAGGTACTTTTGGGTAAAATGAACGTGTTGGGTCCCAAGAAGATTTTTGCCTCCCAGAGTTCTACCATCAAATGATTTCCCATATATATATATATATATATATATATAAGATAGCACTTTTGGTTGTAGATTAAACCTTACGTTATTGGTGATCAAATTTATATCTATGTGTAGTATTTGTATTGGTTGATGTGTATGAGATTACAAATGGATCATCATAAAAAAATCTTCACTAAAAAAATTTCTATAAATTTCAAGATGTAATTCCACTTATCTAGGCTTATGTTTATGTTCTTTGGAGTGCAAGTTTGAATGTATTACTTACCCAATTTCATCTTTCTTTAAAACTAATCTCAATTTCATGACAATGAAGCTATATGGAAATTGGTTGTGTAATCCATGTTGTGTAACTCATGGATTACACAACACTAATTCTTAACCCCATCTAATTCTTGATTGTATAAATTAATTTAATATTTTTTTTACTTCATGTTTACTCTCATCTTTTCTATGCACTTTGTTTCATAACCAGTAAAGTTCTAGTCAACAAAAATTTGCATTAGATGATTGCTTGACTTCTTCTCGAATCACATCTTCCATTAAAAGTTTTCAAAATCTGTACATTTGGATTGCTACGATCTACTTCATGAGCATTCATTCCTTTTGCAATGAGATCGTGTATTCTCCATATAATATCAAACTTCATATGAATTTTTCGATATTACTAATTTCTTATTCTATTTTCCTCTCTTCTTTGATGTCAATTAAGTCATGTGCAAGGGCACATGACTTAATTGATTTTTTGTAAGAACGTTAGTGATAACTCTAGATCGACTGTTATTTTCTGTGTGTTATCAAGTTCTCACCATTGCTTATACTACTTCTCCACTTCGGGGTCTCGTACCCCACATTATTAAGGTTTTAGCTTCTGAGCTGCATGTACACCGCCATAAGTCTCATCAACAACAGTGAGTGAGATTACTCGTATTGAAGAAGCAGATTTGTTGGCGGCCTTGAAAAACACTATAAACATCGACTTATATTAATATCTTTGTTCTAGGTTCGTCTTTGATTGGCACTAACGGTCAGACGGTGGGTGGCCCATACAGTAGTAGAGCTATAAACATCGTGGTACAACAGACTTCGTGTCACCTGTCACACGCTCTACTGGAAGTATTGTGTTTACCGCCATCCACTAATATTTGGCCTTGATACAAAGTTCGGTACTCAAATTTCGCACACCCGACCTGTGTCCGAAGAGCTTCTCAAACTACGTTGTCTCAAACTCTGAACTGATTGACAACACCTAGTTAAGATTAAAATTGTATCAATAACCGGGATTTATTTTTGTTTATTGTGACGTAAGCAACCAGTGCTGGAATGCCGGCCAATAATTTACAGACAAATGTTCGTCTTTCGTGCGGCCTAAAAGAACCTTGTTCGTTGCATGCATTATTCACTAAGTGTACTGGGCAAGACCATAACTTTATTGATTTTTTCCTCGACGTAGAAGAGCTGCCTTTCTCAACCCCCTTAGATTAAGGTAGTCAGTGAGTGGAAGACCAATGGAAAAAGGAAGAGTAGCCCTCATCCTTGCTATACTGGCGTTAAGAAAGAAAGAGCGAACATTGAAATTCCAGAAAAATTATGTTTGCAGCCTCCTGTAATGACTCAATGACCGTTATCCATGAAAGTCCTTCTACTATCCTCAATTTGTCATTTGAACTGCAATTCCACATCCTGCTATAACCTTTCTGGCGAACACAAAATTCCTTCACAGCAATGTATGAATTTTTAGTACAAACAGATTATCCTGAGGAAGAGTCGCTCATCCATCCAGCAACAGTCTTTGTCTCCACAAGCGTCAAAGATAAGGGAGCAAACCAGATTGTTCGCTTACCGAGAATCGGGCCACAAACATGTGATAGTCATCGACATTGTGTGAATTACAGTCATGGGATTCAAAGAACGAGGTAACATCTCACAAGAACTTGATTCCTTGCAATTTCACTTCCCTTACTAAGATTCTGAACGCTTTTCAGGCTCTTCACCCTGAATTTCACTTGCCAGTTACAAAGAAATGCATGAAACAGATACTGATTGAGCAGGTCAGGGAATGACGACGTCGGGTTGACATATTGCGGCCTTGATTGCTTTTGGAAATCAAAAGCAACCTTCTGAGAATCTAAACGCTCTTCAGGCTCTTCACCCTGAATTTCACTTGCCAGTTACAAGGAAATGCATGAAAAAGAATAGTGAAAGAGCAGGTCAGGGAATGACGACGTCAGGTTGACAACTTGCGGCCTTGATTGCTTTTTGAATAAAAGCAACCTTTTGAGAATCTATGGAAACTCAAACAACTTACTCCTTCTGGCTGATGAATCTGTATATTGCTGTATGCCCTCTCACATGACATTATTGAAATTTTTAAATTGGTAGAAGTATCCAAAGTGAAGCTTGAGTCCTCGAATCCGGTCAAAACAAATGTGTACGATGTAGAACTAAAACCTGTACAGAAAAGTAGAAGAGAAACCCATTAATATTCACATATACTCGTCAAAAGTACTTGGTGATACCAACAGACTCCGAGTACCTGGATTTTCCTCTTACGCATTCTCCGCGTTTGAGAATACACTGAAAGTGTTCACAATCACCTAGTTGCACGAAAGATCCTTGATCATGAATCGATAAAGTGCATCAAGTTCTCAACTCTATCTACTCCACTAAGTCATCTGAGAGCCAAAAACTTACTTGATGTTTTAAAGATGCTTCAAATTTTGGAGACAGTATTGTGTGGATTGGTCGCACACAATGAAAATCTCCCCCGCAATCATATCCCTCCCACACACTTGTAGCACACCAAAAAAATCCAGCTGCTGTGGACTATAAATGTACCCGCTAGGTAGGCTCGATCAGAACCGGTTCTTTTTTTTAAGAGTACAAGCCCGACAATGAAGTTGGATATCTCCTTCTCCGCCTTTTGTTGCATGTGTACAGCTTGGAATTGCGAAGTGTTGTAGGTGAAGGATCTCAGGTACGTGCAACATAATTCAAAAATAGAATGGATTACATTCTTCTTGCCTTGAGGAGCGTGAGCTGGTCATTACAGGAAACACACGATTCATATGTTAGTCTCCCCGACTTACTCAAGGATCTGAGTTAAATTTTTAGCTTTAAGTAACATTCCATACAGCTACGGTGCAGACTTTCCCCGTTCTCGAAGAATGTCTCAAAGGATGCAAGAAGTACCTGGAGACAGATGGTCATTCTCATCAGTAAGTAAAGATCACCATGCATGGTAATTCCGTCCATAGTCTGCGGAAGAGACGTGCAAAATATTAGACATAAGTACATGGAGTAAAGTTGCAGCAGACAGCACATAAGATAAATAAGTCAGCAGGTTTTATGTAACATCGAGTTACCACCAACAGGCTGCAATCTCAATTCCTGGAAGAGAACAGGCTGTACAAATGTTCCCGAAGTGATCGGAGAAATCTCACATGATCTAAAAAGAACATCATAATATATTGAAACGCCTCAAAATGCATTAAGTTTCTTCCATACGAGGCAATCACTTTTTAAATGCACAGAGACAGTGCAGCTGGCATGTGGAAAGAACCAACCAGAAGTAGTCGATGCTGGCGGAGGAGTCCGCGGGGCATGTATAGCCTCTTGCAACTCTCGAGTATCAATACAAGGATTACTGTAGCTTCTACTCAACGTTCTCTCTAGTCGGTGACATCGTTGCAGTTTCGGTCGGTTATCCGGCGATGGTGGAAACCCAGTCGACTTTTGTACAGTTGCGGGTTGGGTAAAACCGCTGCTTCTTGACTGTGCCTGATCAGAATGAGGTCCGTTCCTACAGTTACAAACCAACAATATATTAGCCAACTTACTCTCACATAAACAAACTGTCTGTAAACATACACAGAAACGCAAGATAGACCGGGAGAAAATGATCGAAGGAAATTCCATTATGGGTAGCTTTTAAAAAATGAAGAGACTGTTATTATTGCTTTCAGTCACACTACTACAGTACTTCACCTCAATATACAATGTAATATATATTTTACTTCGCCTCAACGTATAAGGACAAAAACGTCCAGACTCCTTGTAATATACTTCTTAAGTCAATGGTCAATGGTCTTATAAACGACTTCTTGGTTGTAACCTGACGAGGGAGACCCCCTCACATCACACTCATTGAAAGGGTCTCCCTCGTCTCTAGTTATACGAATTTCAGTTGTTCGAGCATCGAATTTGGAGCTCTAAATTTGGAGCTTAAAACAAGCTCTTCAAAATCAGTACAATCCCTCGTGTCATGCGTCAATTAAGAGAATTACCTCCATACCGCTGCCGGCGGAGGAGATTCGGGGACAGAACGTAGTCTATAAGAACTTATCATAGTCGCTGCAGACGCAACTGTGGTCGGAGCATTTGCTACAAATGGATGACGTAGAAGGTCTGATGCAGTTGGCCTATCTTCTGGCTTAAACTGTAAACACTTTTTGATGAAGTCTACACAGGCAGGACTCAGATGTTGAGGTATAGGTGGTAGCTCTCCCTTGAAGAGTAGGAAAAACCAAGAGAACTGCACATATTCCAACAAAAACAGAACGACATCAATTTGAGGTCAAGTGTTGACTCCAAATCTAGTCAATGTCAAATCACATTCACTTCGTGAGAAGGTACCAACAGCAGATGGATATGATAAAAGCTTGCGATATAGTTTCAATCATGATACTGACAAAGATCTTGATCACAATCAACCGATAGTATAGATTAATGATACCAACTCTCTCTAGTCATGATAGGTTTCGATGCCATCGACAATAGAGTGCCAATAAAAAGATTCATGTGAGAAACTGCTTACACCCGTCGTGCCGCTCCATGGTGGCTTTCCATCGGCCATCTCAAGAACTGTACATCCTAGACTCCATATGTCCACTGGGAGTCCGTAGCCTTTTTTCTCCGTCTTATCTGGCTTCAAAATCTTCACATGTTCGTCGTACAGATATATTTCAGGATTTTTTGTAAGGCTAGTCTCAAAAATACTACTAAAATATTTAATGACCCCAAATCCTTCCGACTAAGCATGATGACCTGTAGTGTGTCAACCCAGCAAAACAGAAAATTGGGAATGGTTTTTAGGATACCTCAGGAGCCATGAAGTAGGGAGTCCCCTTGCATGAAGTCGCGGGATTTAATTGCCCAACCTGCACATCGTTTGCAACGTCATCATGAAATGTCGTGAACAAAGAAATTGAACGCCGAAGAAATGTATAGGTGAGATGAACGAAGGAATACTCTGTCAACCAAAAGAGGAAATTTGCCGTCTTCTAAAGCACAACTGGGAACCCATACCTAAAAATGTGAATAAATTGCACCTCAAACTCGAACTCAAATTACTCATATAACATGGAGTAAACGTTATATCTCGTAAACTCTTACGATAGTATAATGACACTCACCTCCTTTGCCAATCCAAAGTCAGCTAGCTTTACTTGGCCATCCTTGTCCACCAAAATGTTGGCACATTTAATATCCCTGAGATGAGAAAGATAAGAAAAGACTCAATATGAAGACTCACCTGGACTTGCTTGTTTCAAACAATGTAACACTACTCAAGCAAGGTACTGTTTGTTACACAAATGGCTCTTCTTTTACTGCATTAAAAACTTTCAAAGAGTTTAGACGTCGACTCGGGGAAGTACGTTCTACTCTAACGTTTGAGTCCTTTGACTCGGAATGTACACGTGGGAGGTTGAAGCTGTAACTCACACTACATGTGATATTGGGGCTCAATTCCCAAGGAAAGGTGATTAATCTGGTTATCTCGCTGAAAAAGCATTTCGGTCTAGACTGTAAGAGTAGAATCAACGGAAGTCCAAACGAGAAGCAAAACTAAAGGAGAGGTGCGCAAGAAAATTTAGCCAAGTTGTGGAACATACGAGGTGGTTGAGATTCAGCTGGGTCAGATTTTTTTTTGCTGCGAAATAGATTTTACTTTACCTATGTATAGTATTCGTCTTGTGCAAGTATTCAAGCCCTTGCAGTATTTGCCTTGTGTAAGTGCTGATCAGAGTTTCATCAATTGTGCAATTCATCAGTTGGAAGTGTTTGATGATGGATTGAAGAGAATTTTGCATCAACTCTAGAAAGATGCACATATGGCCATCCTCCTACAAGATTCAACAGCACAAGGAGAGAGTAAGTAGAACTGGCATAAATATGTTCAACTTCGACAAATGCAACATGGGCAAGTCTCTCAAGCTGAACAATGCAGTTACTATCCCTACTCACTCTTCGCCCTCAGTCAAATGCAGCAATTTAGAGCAATCAAAGAGGCTTTTATGTGATCCTGCGTCTACTAGTGGAACATATTGTATGCATTTGTTAGAAGACTGAGAGTGAAAACCAGGTGCTCCCATATTGGGGACTTCGGTTTCACAACTCAGCTGCCGTCCATAAAAGACGGGCAGTCTATACACGAACAAGCTACTGGCCTCAAAATCGCAGACAGAAGAACTTGTCAAAAGTAAAAACGTCTTTATGAACAGACCACATCTTCAATCCTTGCAGAAAGGAGAACAACAAGGCAAGCAAATCTCCTCATATGCTACACATAAGATTGCCAGATCTTAAGAGATGGATGATCATCAATTACCTGCCCAGTACCGAAATATTGGACAACATTTGGGTGTTTCAGGTAGCTCAAGACTTCAATCTCCTGCAAAGTACATAATTGAGTAAGACAAAGAGTCAGCTTGTTTCTTAGTGTCGTTCTGTAGTTTCCAAGCAGGGAAAGCTTTCCTGTCAATTTGGTCCTAGTGATGTTCCAATGCCGCACGGCAAACGGTAAATGTGAAGCGAAGAATCAGGAAGAAATCCAAAAACTTGACGTGAAGTTCCTTGCCAATCTTTTACCTTTTGAATTTCAGGAGTAATCGTTTCTCCCCGACTAATTTTCACAGCGAAGAAACTTCCATCATCTCTGTAAAATTTTTAAGCAAAAAAAACAAGTTCTCGTGCTGTAAGGATTTGATTCCAGCATGAACGAGAGTACTCAAAAGCAATCCGGCGGACATTCATCAAAAGATTCGTGTACAACCAACCGACCTCGGACTGGCTGCAAGCCGTTAACAATCACATAGAATCTCGTGAATCAATAAGTTCACATAAGGCTAGGTAGATTATCTTCATAAGAATGTGCGTCGTGTTAGATCAGACGAAGGTGAAAACACAATACAATTCCTACAGCAATCAGAAAGAAGGCTCCTGGGTGTACTCACAAATTCATGGCCTCGTGCACAGTGCCAAAGGAGCCTGTTCCAATTTGCCTAATTTTGGCCCACTTTGTGGGAATTCTTGGTGCCCGCGATGGTGACCTTGGCGGGGATGGATATCTAGACAGAGGCTGCGGGGGAGCAGGCAGAGGAGATCTTGGGGAAAAAGGGAGAGTTAAAGGACGTGGTGAAGGCAAAGGAGATCTGGGAGGAGAAGGAAGAGGTGAAACTACTGGAGAAAGGATTCGAGTCATTCTGGGAGGAACATGCTGAGATGAAGGGGAATTTACTCTGTGGCCGAAGCCTTGCGCTGAGCGTTCCCGGAGAGCAACCTGGCGGGGAGATTCTACATGAATGGCGGACCGACCCGCGGTTGGCACGTACAAAGGATGCTGTGGAGAAGAGCTAGGAGGAGGTGCTGGCAGAGGATGGCCCTGTATACAAATCCTGTCGGATCGGAGACCCCCGTCGGGACTTGGGTAGCCATTGTATCCCCACTGAGGACTAGCTGAACCATTAGAACCCCAAGACCCTTCTTGACGACCCCTGGCTGAGCTACTCGATCCCCAAGATCTTCCCTCCGGACTGTGAGAACCATTCTGTGCCCAGGTTGTACCTCGCGGGCTACATTGGCTTCGAGGACTCTGTGGTCCATTTGATAATTTGACGTTTGATCGAGGAGAGTGACTTTGAGCTGGATATCTGTTAACCTCATTCTGAGGAGGACTTGGAATTCGTCTGTTGTCGACCGAAAATTCCCTCGATGGCCTGCTGGATCCACCAGCTGTCCGATTCCCTCCCGGACTCATATGGCCGTTACTCACATGGCCAAAAAATTGCTCCGGTAGCGATCGCATAGTTAACAGCGTAGTCGTGCTTATTGTGGGTGTGGGCACAGGCTCGTGAGTTTCCAGCAATACATCCTCTCCAGACTTGATGCTCGCCCCAGGTGCGACGGACATTTGCCCAAATTGAAAAGAAGCCTTTCGTAACTCCAGCTCACTGTTCTTCCTTGGGCTAGTTCTAGCCTCGGATAAATCTGCTACATCCTGTATTACCTTAGCAGGACGGTGAAATTCGAAAGACGAAGGAATCTCGGACTTGATGTAGATCGGCTGGTCATCCACATAGGACTCCTCGTCCCCAGTGTCATCCGAAGTGCAAGAATCGTAACCATCGTCTGGAGAACCAGAACACTCTCCAACATCTGATTTCGTGTAGTCGCACAATTCATCCTTTGTAGCTCCCAGCACCTGCATTGCTTTCAGCAGTGGATCTGTCGCTGGCTTCGCACCGCTCTTGCTGCCCTTGGAACGAGCAGGTGATCCGGGTCTTGGGGACATGCTGCGTGCCGCGTAGAAGTCTTCGAAACCAGTCGCCCGGGGTGAAGTCGGAAATAGTTGATTGATAGAGGAGTGTCCGTTGGATGAGAAACTATTTTGAGGAGAAGGGTGGCCACCAGCCTGGCCGTTCGGCAAGTACTTGCGAAGTTGGCATGTCCCACGCGAGCCCGAGTGTCCATTGGAAACTGATTCCCGCCCTTTGGAACTATGACCATTAGACGAGTGAGTCCCGGAGGGTCCACGAGAGTTCGAGTGTCCATTAGAGGAGGATTCATACGAAGATAGACCCTTCGACGAATTATCGGCAGAAGAAGATTGCTTGTCCTTGGAAGAGGGAGACAACGGGCCCTTCTTGAACAGCCTTTTTACATTGGATATCATGCTTGAATGCCCCCAAGACATCAATGAGTCAGGCATCGAAGAAGGAAGAATCTAAAGCACTGAAAAAAAGTGCAGAGGGATCACATCTCAAGGACGCACGAGCACTAGCTTTCAACACACTTTCAGACGATGGTAAGTGCCAAAGTTCGAGTTTCGAAAGCCCACCGAGAACGAAACGAAGAGAGAGAGCTAACATCTGAAGTGTAGTGCAGCCATTCAACATGGCCAGATATTCTCAAGGAGGTGCATGGAAATTGGGACAAATCAAGGACGAAAGAGAAAGAGCAGACACAGCCACTGAAAAGGGGAGCATGTTGACATGCCAAAGAAACTGCTTCGAAAATTGCCGTTTGTAGGTCAGAATTCCAAAATAAGGATTCCGCAAACTAAAGCGAGATCACCGACCCTCATCTCCCGTCCGTTCCAGTGACAGCTTGTCCAGAAGGAGCATCCTCAACAGTGGGCGAAAAGATCAACGAGTTACAGGTGACAAGCGGAAAAATTCTCCAAATTCCTCCAGTTCCGACACTGATCTACGATTCCGTGTTTCATAAATCTAGCTCAAACCAGCACAGGCACAATCATCTGCCTCCGGGCTGGGTTTCCAGCCAGTCTCATCGCAACCAACTAATATACATGCGTCGAGCCCGGGACTGCACAACTAAGATCGACGGCAAGCTCCACGCTGGCTAATTTCAGGCCGTCTCATCGTCCCGCCCCTGCAACGTAACCCAGACCAAACGCTGCCCATGGGCTTCCTAACAATCCTGTCAATCGTCCTGTCAGATGCGAGTGCAAGCTCTCCCTCCCTCTCTCTCTGTGCCGCCTCTGCCTGCAACCCCACGGCTCCGACGTCCTGAGAACCAAAGAAAGAAATTCTCGACCCGAGAACGATTGTCGAAGAGGCCACCGCGAAACACGGTTCTGCTTAGGAGCTCCTCCTGCTTTCGATAATTGGGCTCCTGCAAGGTAAAACTGGCGTTGTTCACTTGCGACCCCTTTTGCCTTACTCCACTTATCTACGTGCTACAGTAATCTACACTCAGTAATAATGGAAATTATATATAAGTCCGCATCCCAGCCCTCCCCTCCCCTCCCCTCGCCTGCCCACCTTCGCCCCCTCCCCAGATCCGAAAATCCCTGCCTACTCATCCCGTCCCGGCTTCCAACTGGAGCGCACCAGCACCACCTCTCTCGTCTCTTCTCCTCTCCTTTCCTTTCCTTTCTTTTCTCCGCTCTAGTCTCCTCTGCTGTCCTCTCCGTGAGTGTCGAGGGGAAGAGGCTGAGAAAAATATGTACACTGGCAAGTCTGCGTCAAGTCTTCGCTCCGCCTGCAGCTACAGAAGAGTCTCGGACTCGGAGAGCGGAGTGCGCGAGTTTGAACCTACCTGAACCGGCCGCGGCTGTGCAGCCAAGGATGGACGAGCGACTTGAAGGGCCACACACACACATCCTCCTACAGAAGCGAGGCATTAATTGCTGGCCCCCATGGCTGCCCTCCGCCGTCGTCGGGGCACGATCTCGACACCTCCACGGCTGATGAGACCGATGACATTGGCCGCGAATCATCGCAGAATTTCCAGTCAAACTCCGCATGAACCAAACCCCGAGTCTCCCTCTCCCTCCTCCCCTTTTCCGCCCCCATCTCCTCCGTCCCTCTCCCCCGATGCCTTCCGCCTTCCGTCCCGCGATGGCCGCTGTTGTCCTCGTCGCCCCGCCCCGCCCCGCCCCGCTCCCCGCCCGCTGCCAGCGGTTCGTAATCCGGCCCGGCGGTCGTCGCCGCTCCCGACCTTATCACCTCCCTCCCTCCCTGCCGCTATCCTGCCCTGCCTGTGACCGGCAACCGGCAGCTCTCGCCGCGTTGCACGTTCCATTCGAATCATCCGGAGGGAGAACGCCATCCGGAGCCCGGCACGTCCCGTCGCTGACCGTCCTCGCCGAGAATTATAATGTTCCCGAGACCGAAGTGCTTCAGGTCTCCACGTGTTTTACAAGGACGGAAACAAGATCGGCGAACCGCTAACAGACTGGGACAGCTCGTCGCTGCCCCCACCAACGCAGAATCACGGGACCAACATCAAGATCGGGATGAAATAAAATGCGGGCTTTTCTCATTCTTATTCCCGTGGCCTCCATTTTCTGTGAAAGCATGTGTTTTAAGAATCGGGAATAAGAAGTTGTGAGGTAATGCCCTGGCAATAATTCTACGATTCCCCTGGATTGCTGTTCGGATAACCTCCTGGAACGTTCGCGGTTCGCAGGGATGCCCTTCATGTGCTCGTGAATTATTTTCCTCTGCAACTGCATAACCTCTCGTTCGTCACCACGGATTATAGAATTTTCTGGAGGAATCTTTGGCATGCACAATCATTACCGAATACTCCAAGTCGGCGAGATGGATATGCTATTATGTTAACTGAAAGAAATTCCGCTCGTGAGAGCCCAACCTCTCATGGAAATGGAAGGAAAACGAAAAATACTTCAATAATTGCAACATACGGAGGACAACTATTCCCAAATCTATCGTTCCCACCACGCCAATTTAAACAGTTCGAGGATATTCTCCAGGTCGCAAGAAATTCTTACTCTACTTTTGCCGTTCATGAAACGTGGCCCTATGGAAAAAGTTTAACAACATCCCTTTTCGGTCTGATGATCACCATCTCTTCGTTAGGGTGCGAGGTTTGTGCCTCGACCTCAGACCTCAGACCTTGCAAGTGAGAGTGAGTCAACCCTATGAAACGCCAACAGATAACTCATACACTAGAAGCTACTTAGTGACACACACGTTTCCGCCAAGACGTTAACCCATGGTCTCTTCCGCTGCGGTTCGCCTTTCCTCGGTCAACAGAACAATGCCTAGGCTCAAAAAGATATGGTGGGCAATAGTCCCCGGAACAAGATCATCACAACACGATCTCATCAGCGGCGCATAGGTCCATCGGCCCCAACAATGCTTTCAGGTGCTCAAAAGATCAGACAGCAGATTCGATCCGCGAAACTTCTGCATGGAGCGGAAGAGGGAAGGCGGTGAGAAACCAGATCATCGGTAGGCAGCAGCATAATAGAGCAGCCCGAACGCATGTCCCGATCAGACAGAGCCTAGCTTAATGAAAGAAAGTCTATACACGAAGTGAAATCGAAGTGCGCACAAGAAGATCGTGCTTGAACAGGACGAGGACGCTTGGCTGCTTGCCCTCTGGGCATCAACTTACAAGAATATTAGAAAGAGAGCCGCCTTGAATTTTGATGAAGGCGCAGGTGCTGCCTCGCCGCAAAAGGGAGCACAATATTTAGTGAACCGGAATATACACTCGGCGGAAGCAACGGGGAACTCGACGTGCACCGGGCGGCCGGTTCTCGCCCCACCGGAAGCACGGCGCGCACATGTTCCCGGGAGTGCTTCTACAGGAGACCTCGGGAACGGAGACTTTCCCGTTGTCTCGCTCGTCCAACCGGTAGCACGGCGCTCTCATGTTCCCGGGAGGTCTTCTGCAGAAGTCCTCGGGGACGGGGACGGGGACTTTCCAATTGTCACGTCCCCCATTCCGTGACGCTCGGCCATCAGGTTCGGATCTCGCGGAGAATCCGCCAAAGCTCGGTTCGCTTCGGTTCGGTTTGGTTAGGCTCGGCTCGGTTCGGTTCGGCCGAACATCAAGAGTTGCACAGTGGCGGGGAGGCGCTCGGGAGGAAGGCTGAGATTCTCTCCGCGAACGAATATGCTCTTTGACGGGAGACGCGGAATCGTTCGGATCGTCGGCTCGGCCAATGAGATGGCTTCCGTATTACCGGCACAGTGATCCCCCAGAGCCCATCCGAACTCATGAGACTGGAGTACAGTGACCTGCAGCTGATCTTGCGGGAGGGCATAGTGAAATCGATCATCCCCCACTGTAAAAAATCCATATTTGTGCCGTTCCGATCGACTTCACAGGAGTGTTAGGCCGGTTTCCAGTGAGTCAACACGAGAAAGCGTCAAATGCTTCAGTTGATCCAGTTGAGACGCTGCACACGGGAGGCAGGCGAAGGAGCCAGAGGCCAAAAGTACAGAGAGAACTGGGAGCGAGGGCAAACCCACTTCCTGCGTCCCTATATTACCTCGAACTACGACCGGGCAATGAGGTTGTGACATCAGTCAATTGCAGTGAGCGACCATGTCGATATCAGATATCAGGTGCCAGACCTTCTTTTTTTCTGCGAGCGAATTTAAAGCGCATGATTTTGGAAGGTTTTTAAACCACCAGGGAACATCACGAATTTAACCCACACGAGCAGAAAACCACTCGACAGTAGGGCATTAATATCTCAGACCATTGTGAGCGAGTCCTTGACCGTCCGGAAAGTACAGGCGAGTGTGGGAATTTCTCATCCATTACAACAACCAGTCTTCTTTGTTGTCAGAACTTGACATGCATGGAAACATCTTCCCTGCACAATAATCCGAGTGCATTTGGCAGAAGATGATAGCCTGGCTCCCACATTTTGAGGGAGGACAAAGCAAGGACGCGGTTGTATTGACCAGTCAAGACACCTCAGTGGTTTTGTCTGCCTTTGGAGGGTGTTATCACTACTATGGAGCTTGCCCATTCATTCGAGAAACTTCAACGAGATTTCCTAATCTTAGCTCGAGTGCAGCGTTGCAAACCTAAAGCGATGTTATGGAAGTAGTTTAGCCAGGCATTTTGCTCACAATTTCATCATAAACTTCATCTTTCACTTTAGGACTTTGATTTCACTTTGAGAACAAAATCTAAGATTGGTGTCCACATGAGAGTTCTCTTTACTGATTTACCTTCATATACGCAGATTAAATGCGTTGAATACAGCCCTTCGTCCCATGACAAAATTGATATGAATTAACAAAAGATACATTACTTTCACATATATTTTGCTCTCACCCCCATTTGGATCTAGGATTTGTTTATACACGTGTTTATATAGTCATAACATGTTACTGTAGTCATCATGTCTTGTATTTCAAACCCCTTTCTACAAATTCGTTATTGAATCTTGTTTTTTAACTTCATTACATTTATTCATTTTGTCATTTTTGCATGTCTTTTGTACTCCAAAAAGCTCGAAACAAATATAAACACAAATAAAGGATACATACATTAGTAATCAATCATATCAATATTCATAGATTTCATTGTTGGATCTCCAACATGATTATTAGTCCATCCACACATTACAACATCAAAAAAAGTCATATATCAAAATTCATGAATCAATCTTTTTTCAAAAAAAAGCTCAATCCCTCTAAAAAAACAAAATGTAATCACATAATTGAATTTGAAATTAATTTCTTTATTGTAAACCATTATAAAAATAAAATTGATTAAACTTAGAGCCAAAAAAATGCTTGCTTGGAGACAAAATTTTTGAAAAATTTAAATATCTCATTATTTCATATGAAATATTTAAATTATCAAATCATGGCTAAGTTTCCAAATGATGAACTTCAAATTGCTATTCATTATGTTCTCACTTCACTAGTGTTCAATTCAAAATTTTGTTAAAATTTGACATTTTAAATATTTTAAATAAATAATATGATATTTTCAAAATATAATAATTTATGTCACAATTAAATTATAGCAAACATCAATAACTTCACAATGAATTTGGACTAATGAATTAATTTACGAAAATTATAAACTAGTCTATCTAATTTTCATGAA